TTACCTGTTACTTGTCTCACTTCCTGCTCTTTTAGTAACCCAGTCAACGGTGGTCCAAGACTATTAAAGGGAAAATTCCAGGAACTAACCCTTTGAAGCATGGTTTTTATTATTTATGACAGAAGAGAATCCAATTCGGCACAGAATTCGGCTACCTAAAGCTGAGGTGCTCTAACTCTCAGACCTAATATGGGATGTGAAATTTTTTGAGTAAAGAACATGAGGCTATGGCAAAGATCATCCTGCTATTATTCCTACTTGAGGGGCTCTAGAAGCTTGATTGAGAAGCAGGTAGTGAAAACTATGTACCTCAGTTGGCAGATGTATTTTTACAAGGTTGCAATATTCAGGGAAATGACAGGAAAAATTTGAAACATGAGAATGAGCCAGTTGCTTCTTGCTGCCCTAGTAAATCCTTATCAAAAAAGAGAGAAGCTGGGATGGGGGAGTGTCTCACGTGATAGCAGAGAAGGGAAGAAAATACAGCTCTTTTCTGAGAGGCCCTTTTTGTCTGTGGTCTGTAACCCAAGTTTGTTGAAAGGCCAACGATTCAGGGCTGTGCTGGCTGAAAAACAAAAGCAAAGACAAAAACATGCCAAGAGGTAGGAGATTAAGCAGGAGGTAATATTACAACTATAAATCAAGCCCTGATAACCTTTTCTCTTCCCAGTACCTCTCATTCGTCATTCGCTCACCTGCTGCCTGGCTTCAGGAAGTACATTATAGGTGGGGCCTCTCTCCACAAACTGTTGTTTCAGAATGCTTCAAGGACAATTTTTTTAAAATAAGGGACAAGAGAACTGTCGAGAAGAGAGAAGTCTGTTGCTAGAACATAAGCATAAAGATTGCCTGGGAAATATTCCTAACTGTGGCTATTAGCTTTAGAAGCTGGCCAGAAGCAAGTAACCTAGAAATCTAAGTATTTCAGAATGCAGGATAATGTGCCCTCCATATCTGTGGGCTCTGTACCTATGGATTAAAATGAGCACGACTAGAAAATACTCAGAATAAATTGCACTTGTAATGAATATGTACAGACTTTCTTTTTCTTCTCATTATTCCACACATAACATAGTGTTACAAATATTTATATAGCATTCACACTGAATTATATATTATATATAATGTACAGATGATTTAAAATGTGTGGGAGAGCTAGGTGCAATGGCATCACCTTGTAAGTAATACTAGGTGCTCGAGAGGCCGAGGAAAGAGAACTGGGTTTGAGGTCAGCTGTGGGTAACAGAGTAAGAGCCTGTCTAGAGGAAGAAAGAAAGAAAGCAGGACAGTGTTCATAAGTTATGTGCACATATCACATTCTGTCTAAGAAGCTTGAGTGTCTGCATATTTCAGAACCTGAGGGGGTGGGAGTAGGGTCCAGGGATAGGACCCACCCTAACCCTGAGGGATGACTGCATTGCCAAAAACAAATCAGAAGATAGCTTTCCCTTCTTTAGTTCTGCTGGCAGAGATAAGCAAGGAAGCATATTGCTTTTTGGCAGCCAAGTTACAACTTAGCACACAGACAGTTGTGTAGGCCACAGAATGGAAAAACAGAAAGATGACATTAAGCTAATGAATTAATCAACTTCTAGACTTCCAGCTATGGGAGACAATAAATTACTGCTTTAGCCATTTGATTCTTCTTACAATCAAAAGCATCCTAATTAGTAAAAAAAGTCTTCTCTTTGTTGGGGAGGAAAAAATTCTTTTTCTTCTATCTTAGGGTTTTTTGACTGATAAAAGATAGATTTATATGAGGAAACAAACAAGAGTTTACCTTTCTTTCAAACAACAGTTTATTAACACGTGCATTGCATGCACACACTTGGGAGCACATGGTGAGGAGTAACTCAGAGGGTTGGTTAGAGTAAAGTACTAGAGCACTTTAAAAAACGATGATGCACTTGTACAGAAATGATATGACAAAGGAACTCCTAGGGTGACAAATTTTGGGAAAGTAAACATATGGGGGAATGAATGGGAGATAAGGTTTGTTTTAGGAAGATTTATACATAAAGCTCTCTGGTGTTGTTTCTAAGCTAAGGGTCTAGACTTGTCCCTACTGACTAATTTCTGTCCTTCCTGGTAGAGAACAAGGAGGATGCCTTTACAAATTTAGGACCCGGCTTTAGGTAAATAGAGGGAGGGCAAAGAGCATTTCTTTTTATCTACTTTGCCTCAATTTATCTTCAGCTTAAAATCAGTACCCCAGCAAATTGAGGGTGGAGCACTACATCTGTTAACCTTGGGCTTCAGCTCGAGTATCATCTTTCATCTGTGTCAAATAGTAGTAATGCCTCAAATCATTTGAATTCTTAGAAATTAGTTTTACTTACTATTGAACTATCCTTTTCAGGTGGTCTAGTTGTAAACTGAAATATAGTACCCTCGTTATGAAAGATTTTTGAGTTACACACATTTTGCAGACAGAATTAAAATTTAAAAAGAGGGGCTGGGGATTTAGCTCAGCAGCACAGTGCCTGCTTGGCAAGCGCAAGGTCGTGAGTTCAGTTCCCAGTCCTGGAGAAAAAAAAAAAAAAAAGACAATAGCTATTTCAGTAACTACTCCTTCATGCGGTATATAAATCTCTCTGATGTATGGTGGTTTTCATCTTTTCCTTCCTTCTTCCATCTCACACTGACCTCAGTTGGGGAGAGGGTTGCTTTTGCTCGGGATGTGAACTTCTCTGAGGAGGGAATCTGAGAAGGGGAAATGAGTTTGCTCTCAAACTTACCAGTGCCGATTTCTCCACACCTGCAAGCCCGCCTGTTACTTATCTGGGACAACAGAAGAAAAGTCAGGTAGTACAATTTAGATTGAATAATAAAGTAAATTTGGGGGCAGTAGACTGACCATTTCCTTCCTTAATTTAATAAATTTAATGTTTTGCCTACTCTGTTTCTACTTACTGACTTATTTCTGACTTGGGTAAAAATTTAAGCCCAAGTTTTATGATAAGCAATGTGGAAATCCACTGAAATGATTAGTGGATGGATATTCGAAAGGAGTAAATGATTTTTACTACAGTGAGTTTTTGCTAACCTGCTATAAAGACTACAGATGTTGAAGATGAAAGTGAATGACAGTGAATTGGTTTGCCTCTGTTTTGACAAGATGGAGAGAGCATTCCAACCTAAAGCACACACTTCAACAGAAAGGAGAAGCAGTAAGTGAGATTTCTATCCACAGCTGTCATTCTTGTGTGTTAAGGTAAACAAACTTCAGCCCATGTACCTTGTGGTAATCAACTTGAGAAGTTATGGTTCTCTGTAATGTAAATACAATCTTACATTAATAAGCATTATTTCCTTTTATCTATGAATTCAGTCTTATCATCCTACTCTGGAATTAATGTTTAAGGATGTCAAGGTGAAATAATTTCAGTATTATTTAAAGTAAGAACTTTCATGAAATGTAAAGAACAGTTTGAAAAATTAACCAGAGTCACAAATAGGTGACTAATTTAAGAAGTTTTCCTTTGACTACTATGTTCACCAGGGCAGTTCTTCATTCAGGTGTCTAATCTAAGACAACAGCACTTAAGGTTCTTTTTGCCTGGAAAATTAGCAATATACAGATTAACAGACAGTAGAAAGTTATGTAACTATTATTATGAAATACCTACTTATATGTCCCAGTGTAAATTTTTTTTCTGAAATATGTAACAATCCCATAGAAAAAAAATATCATTTGGAAGGGTGACTTCCAAATGCAAGAGCTCCATAAAAGAGCAAATTTTTCATTTCAGATCATAGATAAATATCAAAAGACAAACATGGAATATACATTTGATTACAGAAAGTATAAGTTAACTAAAAATACTAAAATAAGATTTTAAAAAAAATTTTTTTTATAAGGATTTGATGTTTTCAAAAATTGGTCTATTCAGAAGACACATTTTTCTACAGCCTCAGAATTCAGGAACTGACTTTCCTGAGATGCAGAAACTCCTTCTCTCCAGAACTCTATAAAAAATCACCTACCAAGGGGTATGTTGAGCTTTAAGAAGAAAACATTAGTAATCTCCTTGGTGAATAGAGATTTCATGATAAAATAGTTTGTTTCAGAATAGCAAGGAGATTACTGTACACATTTTCTGTTCTACTATAACTTCCCCTAATAAAATTTTCAAAACTCTTGCCGGTTCCACACTGTACAACACCACTGTTTCATTCTAAATAACTCATCATCAAATGATAAATTTGCACACAAACCTATTGCTGAACATCATACCACAAATTGGAAAATAAAAGTAGAATTTATCTTTCATTTAATTAATGAAACCATTTATCAAAGAAATGATATATTGTCTTCCTAAGCTAGGTACATGCACCAGAGTGTATCATGAACTTTTTAATCTCAGAAAAGGAAAGCACCCCGTTGTTGAATAGTTCCAATTCTCTCCTGATAACACTATTCAAGGAATCGCTATAAAATATGAATATAGAATCCATCAACAGCTTTCTATGGTACTTAGAAAAAGAATCCCACTTTGCTAAAATGACATTCTGCAAACATTTTTGAGTAACAACTATATGCCAAGTACTATTTTAGGTTTTTATTATACAAAAAGCAAAAATATCTTCCTTAACAAAGTTTACATTATAATAGAAGAACTTACACAATCATTAAACAATGAAAACATTAGGCAGTGTATTGGAAAGTGATAATAAGTCATAGAGGGAGAAGAAGCCAGGAAGGGAGATAGTTCCTTCCTGGGGGGACCAGTAGTAATAAGATGAGAAAACAGCTCAATGAGAAGAGAACATTTGATCAAAGGATGAAGAAGGTGAGGGAATAAATCAAGGATATTTATTGGGTGAGGAGCTTTCGTGCAGAGGGAAGAGTGTACTTGAAGCTAACATATGCTCTTTTGTTCACAGAGCAGTAGGAGTAAAGTGTGATTGGCAGTGAGAGTGGAAACAGTGAGAAGAGACACTACTGGAGTCAGGTGAGAGGCTTCCTGAAGGCCAGCTAATGATGTTGGCTTTTACTTTTGATGAAATGGGAAGCCACTTGCTGGTTCTTGGTAGAGCAACATAATTGACTTAGATCTGAGGATGATACCTGCATCTCCTGTGTGAAAAGCAAATCAATAATTGAGGGAACTGGAGGGAGGGGCTCCAATTAGAATGACTGAAAAAGTCAAACAAATGATGATAGTGACTTACGGTAGTAGAGACTGCTGTGTTTGGAAATGGCAGACCGAAGGTAAGCTCTAAAGACAGAACAAATAAATTTTTTTGTACAAAGAAGTTTTTTTGACATACTGAATATGGGGTACAGGAGAAAGAGAGGAGACAAGAATGACTATTATTATTTGGTTTGAGCAGCTCACAGTTTTGGAGGCTGAGAATCCAAGATCAGGCAGCCTCATCTGTTTGGCCTCTGCAGATGGCATCCCAATGGCAGAGTGCATGCAAAGGACATCACAGTGCAAGAAGAAAAGACCCTTCGGAATTTCAAGAGGAAGTGAGATACAGCTATGTAGGTTAAACCACACAATTTTCAAATGTGAGCTTAATTAAAATACAAAGCAAATATACAGCATGTGAGCTAATGGCATATACACACATCTACCACACGCACATGTAATTTCTGCATCCTCTTTAGTTTTCTTTCACCCACCAAGTTCTGCTTCTTGTTACTCATTCAAAGATTGGGGTAGTCAAACATTTGGCCTGCCTGCTCATGCAGAGACCTGGTGTATTTGTTATCTAGAGTTGAGATGCTTGCAGGCAGCATGTGAGGTGGTTTCTATCTTTTCTGGAAGCATTGCCACTTTTTTACAGTATTTGCTAGTACAGTTACTTAAAATATATTTGCATTAATTTGTATCTCTCTAATAACCAGTGATGTTGAACATTTTTTCATATATTTATTTGCCATATATACTTCTTTATCTGAGAGGTGTGTATTCATCTCAGGTGCCCATTTTTGGATTGGGTCTTTTAGTTTGGGAGGTCTGATTTTTTTTCAGTTCTTTATATGTTCTAGATATAAGTCCTTTGTCTGAAGGACAACTAGCTAAAATTTTTTCCCACTCTGGGTTCGTTTTTTCACTCTGTTGGTGATTTCTTCTGTTGTGCAAAAGCTTTTTAATAGGATGAGATCCTAGTTATTGATTCTTTGTATATATTTAGTGAAATAAATTGGACTCACATGTGTAAACAATGCATTGTCTCCTTTATGTGAGAAACTGAAAGAGTAAATAAGGATGAAAATGTACAATAGGTATTGTGAAATGGGAAGAAATTGTTAAAAAGGAAGTACTACAGTGGGAGGAAAAAAAGATTTTAAAAAGGATAAAATGGAAACAAAACTTTTTGGTTTTTCTTGTTTTTTTTTCCAGTATCAGGAATTGAACTCATGACCTCGCGTGGAAACAAAACTTTGTAAATAGGTAGGGGAAGATGGGTTGAAGGAAGGAGAGGGGACTAGGAAAAATAGAGAATTAAAACTATATCATGTACAAGCACAAATTCCCTATGATGAATATGATCATTATGTGCATCTAAAATGTACTATTAAACTTAATTATATATTTAATGTTATATATATTATATATACACATATATACTTAGCAAGCATTCAAATATACTGATATGTTAAAGGATATAATTTTCATTTACTACAATTTTAGTTCATTTATGCTTATGATCCATTTTGAGCAAATGTTTTTATATGGTGTGAATTGGGTTCAAACTCAGTTTTTTCATGTGTAGATAACTAATCCTTCAGCATCATCTACTGAAAAGCATCACCTATTGCATTATTTTGGCATCCTTGTCAAAATTAATTGACCATAAATGTTAGGGTTTACTTCAATTCCATTCCATTAATCTATATATCTATTTTATGTCAGTAGAAGCTAAGTTTTACACTTGGGAATTAACTTCTACCCATCCCCCTACAGTTATTGTCTTATATAGGAACATCCTTAGATATGTCTGTTTTTTCTCCTAAAATATAAAGTTCTATAGGTCGGGGATAGCTAATCTTCTTTTTTATATTTCCATAGCCCGTGATGATATTTAGCAAAATTCTTAAAACAGTTTGCATTTACAAAACAAATAGTATTTTCTGAAAAGAATAAGGCCCAGTGTACTGCTAGGGTGTTTAAATCTATGGTTTGCATGAGTAGTCTCCATGTGTAAAAAACATGGTCCCAGGAGAGCACTACTTGTAAATTGTGGAATCTTTTAGAGGTGTGTTCTTGTGAGAAGTCCTTAGTTCCTGTGTGGGAGTGTCCTCACTGGGGATCCGGTGACCTCCATCTTGCCCTTCCTCTTCCTCTTTCTGTTTCCAGGTTCATGTGGTTATGTGCTCATGAGCCACTATGCGCTCCTGCCATAGTGTGCTGTCTTCACTTGAAGCCAAAAGAAGTGCGTCCACTCCAAGTGTTTTACCTATTCCACAATACAGTAGGTTCAGTGTTTCTGTTTTAATGTTTAGATCTTTGATTCATTTTGATTTTAGTTTAGTACATGGTGAGAGATATGGGCCTAGCTTTAATCCTCTGCAAATAGCCAATTTTCCCAGCACCATCTGTTGAATAGGTATGGCCACTTTGACAATATTGGTTCTGCCTATTCAGGACCAGGGGACATCTTTACATTTTTTGATATCTTTTTTAATCTCCTTTTTAGAGTACTATAGTTTTCTTTGTAGAGGTCTTTCACTTCTTTGGTAAGTTAATTCCTAGGAATTTAATTTTTCTTGATGCTACCATGAATGGTATTGTTTTCATTTTATTTCTCCTTGAGTTTATTACTGGTGTACACAAATGCTATTGATTTTTGTGTGTTGATTTTTATCCTGTTAATTGCTGAGATTGACTATTAATTCTAAGTTTTTTCTGTCTTCTTTAGGTTTCCCATGTAAAGTATCATCTCATCTGCAAATAATGATAATTTGAGTTCCTTTCCTATATGTGTCCCTTTTCTTTCTCTTGCCTGATTGCTCTGGCTAATGTTTCTAGTGATACGTTGAATAGTATTGGTGATCATGTACATCGTTGTCTTGTTTCTGATTTTAGGGGGAATGTCTTCAGTTTTTACATATTTAATATGTTGGCCATCATAAATAGCTTTATCGGATTCAAGTATGATTCTTCTATACCTGCTTTCTTCAGGACCTTATCATGAAGGGGTGTTAGATTTTGTCAAAAGCCTTTTTGCCATCTATTGATATGATCATATGGTTTTTGACCTTGCTTTTGTTTATGTAGTAAATTACTTGCACTGATTTGTGTATTTTGAACCAATCTTGCAGCTCTGGGATGAAACTTACTTGGTCATGATGTATGTATGATCTTTTCAATGATGTGTTGCATTCTATTCACTAATATTTTGTTATCTATTTTTTAAAGATTTTCCAATTTGTTGGAATACAATTTTTTGTAGTAGTTACTCAGTATCTTCTGGATTTTAACAGTGTCTGTTGTGACTTTGCCCTTTTTATTTCTAATTGCATTGATGTGAGTTTTTCTCTTTCTCTTGGTAAGTTTAGCTAAAGGGTTATCTATTTTGTTTATTCTTTCAAAGAACCAGCTCTCCAAGTCGTTGATTCTTCGCATTTGTTTAGTTTCATTTTCATTGATATCTTCTCTAATCTTTATGATTTCCCTCCTCAATTTTGGTTTGGCTTGGTTTGTGGTTTCTGAATTATCTTAAGGGTCCTCAAGAAGTTACTTGTTTGAGCTCACTCTATTTTCCTAGTGTGAGCATTGATTGCAGTGAATTCCCATCTTAGAACCGACTGCTTTCATCATGCTCCACAGGTTTCAGTGTGTTGTACAGGGATTGTAATTAACTTCCAGAAATTGTTTAATTTCTGCTTTAACTCATTGCGTGTTCATGAGTGTGTTATTAAGTTTTCAAATGCTTGTAAACTTTCTGTGGTTTCTTTTGTGGTTGGTTTCTATTTTCACTGTACAGTGGTCTGATAGTAAACATGGGGTGATTTCAATTATTTTATTTTTATTTAAGCAGGCATTGTGGACCAGTATGTGAACTATTTTGGAGAAAATGCTGCATGCTGCGGAAAACAATGCATCCTCTATTGAAATAGGTTGGCATACACTATAGATATCTACTAGGTCCATATATTCAGGGTGTGCTGCAGCACTGATATTTCCTTACTGATTTTTGTTTAGCAGATTTCTCTTTGTGAAAGTGAAGTATCAATATATCTCAATATGACTGTGTTAGTATTTATTTAATCTTTTATTTTCAGTCGTATTTGTTTCATGAAGCTTGGTGCTCTAGTATTTGGTACATAAATATTTATAGCTATTCTTGTTGGATTATTACCTTAACTAGTATGTAGTGACATCCTTTGTCTATTCCAATAAGTTCTAGCTTGAAGTTTCCATTGCCTGAGATTAAAATTGCTAGCCCTTCTTCTTTTGGGAGTCCTAGAGCATGAAATATAGCTTTCCACCCTTTGAGTTTTTAGTTTCTGAATATCTCTTTAGATTTGATGAGTTTCTTGAATGCAACAGACTATTGTATTCTGTTTTTTAATCCAGTCTGCCAATCAGTGTATTTTAATTGAAGTGATGAGGCCATTAACACTGAGAGGTATTACTGAGAGGTGTTGACTAACTGTGATATAGGGGAAGGCAAGAACATTCTAAACAGAACTTCAATTGCACGAGAAATAACAGCAACAATCCACAAATGGGATGACATCAAATTAGAAAGCTGCATAGCAAAAGAATCAATTAGTAAGGAGGTGACCTACAAGAATGGGAAGAAATTTTGTCAGCTATTCCTTAAACAGAGGACTAATATCTAGAATTTATAAAAGACTCAAAAAATTAGATCACCTAAAATAAAAGACCCAATCAAAAATGGGCAAGTGAAATGAACAGACAGTTCTCCAAAGAAGAAGTACAAATGGCAACAAACATATGAAAAACTGTTCACTATCTTTGACCATTACAGAAATGCAAATTAAAGCAACCTTAGGATTTCATCTTATACCAAAAAAAAAAAAAAGCAACCATCAAGAAGTCAAAGAATGACAAATACTTGTACAGCTGTAGTTGAAAAGAAACCCTTTTATATTTTTGGTGGGAATGTAAACTAGTATAAGCATTATGGAAATCAGTAAAGAGAATTCTCAAAGAACAACCTATCCCTCTTCTAGGTATGTTCCACAAAGAGTTAAAGACATCATGTTATAGGAATACATGCATAGTAATGTTTATAGCAGCACAGTTCATAATATCTAAACCCTGGAAGTAGCCTGCATGGCTTTCTACAGATGAGTGGATAAAGAAAATGTGGTACTGATCTATAATGGAGTACTACTTGGCTATATGGAACAATAAATCAGAGACATTTGTAGGAAAATGGATGCACCTGGAAGATATAATATTGAGTAAGATAAATCGACACACAAGTTCAAATACTTCGGTCATTT